TTTTAAAGATCTAGGTAAAAGGTTCGCTTTAATGTAGTAGTTTCATTTTGTGACACTTCAAGACATCTGTCTCCTTTTATTTCAGTGTCAAACCTAATCTAGAATAGGGTGGTCCTAAAGCGATTCTGCAGTGTCTGCTAATACTGTCCATTGCCTTGTAGAGTTCCTGGGGGTTTTGGATCACAGGGAAACCTAATATGCAAATAACAATCTCAGATCTGAAGTTGCACTTGGCCCCATCCTTCCCACACTTCACTGTAGGTCCATCCTTATGATGGACAGCCTCACTGGCCAATAGTGAGGCATGTTGAGTCAGAGCTGCTGCTTCAAAAACTAAAGTCACTATCTACATAAAGATCTTTGGGGCCCATAAGGACCTCTACAAGTTATATAACTATAGGTAGACTGTGCATTACCGAGCCTCTGGCAGCTTTGGACGTTTAAAGGAAACAGAGTTTCACCCTTAGCTTCCCATAGACATGATATGGCAGCTGTCTTGCTTATCCAGGTAGAGCTTAATTGTCCAGGCAGAGTGCTGTTAGCTCTTGGAGGGAACAATCAACTGGACAGGCCACATAACCAGCTCTGACCGATGACTTTTAACTCGATGAAAAAGAACAACCATTTTGAACCAAAACAATACTACGTATTTATGGAAAATAATCATAGTTGGACCTACTGACCACCAACTCATAACTCTGAGCCTTATGGTGGCCACAGACATGTCTAAACCACTCAAATCATTTAATGCAACTAAACTGATCAAATAAAAATAGCAAACCAGAGACTCTATTTTTGATCGATTTAGAGAGCTCTCCACTGACTATTATACAGGATTTACATAACACAAACAATAAAAAGGGAGACAGCATACAGTAGTTACCAAACAACTGAAGACTAGATGGTTAGGAGGGCCCGGCTCCTTTATGATGGAATTATGTTGAGTGTCTCCGATTGTTCAAAGCAATATTAGAGTGTGTACTGGAGAACCGATCATAATACAGATGGATTACGATAGGTTTGAATCGATAGCTTAAATTAATGGCTGATCAACTTTGCCAATTGATCATTTCAGTCAGTTGAAAATACGGAACAATACTAAGTGTGCTGCACCCTTAGAGGTATTTTAATTGATGATGGATCATTGCTTGTATCTAGATCAAGGGTAGTCAAACTTTGGTCCTCCAGCTATTATAAAACATCAAATCCCAGAGGCAGATGCAGGATGGGATTTACAGTTTCACCACAGCTGGAGGGCCAGAGTTTTTCTAGCCCAACCTAATTCAACCACAAATTGCTATGTGAGGGAACACCTATACCAGGTGTAGGCAACCTCCGCACTCTAACCGTGACAAAACTTAAAAATCCCATCATGCCTCTGAGAATCATGCCCATGGTTCACAGTCTTGCAGTGCCTCACTGGGCTAGTAGTTCCACAACAGCTGCTGTGCTGACCTTTACTGTTTTACAGCTGCCAGGAGGTATGATTATGTTCCAGGAGAGGAAAGGGATGAAAACTAGGTGGGAGCTACAATGTACTATTGCATATACAGATCTATAGAGCAAGTAGTGCACCTCTTGTATTAGAGTAGCCATTCAGATATGCTAAAATATCAGAGCTACACACAACGGGGAAAAAATGCAGCTTTTTGGTAAAGCACATCATTCTACAGTTTTCAGAAAAAGAAATTAGGTCTTTAAAGAAAAAAAAAAAAAAATACAGTCCCTACAGTCACACATGGTGGAGGTTCACATGGCTTTGCTGCTTCAGGCACTGGATGTCTTGACTGTGTGCATGGCATTATGAAATTTGAAGACTACCAAAGAATTCTGGGGTGCAATGCAGGGCCCAGTGTCAGAAAGTTGGGTCTCCATCAGAGGTCATGGGTCTAACAGCAATGACCCAAAAGCACACGTCAAAAAGCACCCAAAAATGGTTTCAGACAAAGCGCTGGAGAGTACTGGACTGGCCAGCAATGAGTCCAGATCAAAATCCCACAGAGCACCCGTGGAGAGATCTCAAAGCAGCAGTTGAGAAAAGGAACGCTTCCAATCCGAGAGACCTGGAGGAGTTGGTGAAAGAGGAGTGGTCCGAAATTCGTGTAGAGAGGTGTAAGAAACTTAATGATGGTTAAAGGAAGCCATTGATATCAGTTATTTTTTCCAAGGGCTGTGCTACCAAATATTACTAGAGGGTGTCAATAATTTTGTTCAGTCCATTTTTGGAGTTTTTGCGTGGAATGGGTCAGATTTGGCTTTTTTTCCTCTAAACTTTTTTGTGTCTTACCAATAGAAACAAAAAGAAATAAACAGGAGAATGCCGAAACATTTGTAATTGCAACAATTATCTGGGCGAAGTGGTGCATTATCTGACAGAAATGCAGGGGCTTCAATATTGTTGGCCATGACTGTAATATATATATACACATACATACATATAGATCTATATCTATATCTATAGATATATCTATATCTATATATATATATATATCTCTC